CCCCCCCCGCGGGGCGGGGGCCCAGCCGCTGCGGCAGCGTTTGGGTGTGGAAACCCGGTGCAGCCCTCGCAGCATCAGAGGGGATTTCTTCGCTGATGAAGGGGGTCAGAGGCAAAAGGAGAGATGCTGGTTTCTCTTCCCATTTTCTGTGCCCTGAAGACCACTCTGGGAGGAAGGAAGCAATTCCTGCCTTGGTGGGAGAGGCTGCGGTTGGCTTGCCTCCTGCTCCTTCCAGCCAGGTTTGCAAATTCACACATTTAAATTATTCCCATTTCCCAGCTCTTGCTGAAGCCTCATTTACGTGGGGACTGATTCCCAATTAGTGGGATTTTCTAGGTGCCCTGGAAACAGAAGATGACTTCAAAGGGAAGAGGTAGCAGCTTGCATATCTCTGTGCACTTTCCTTTCTGCTCATGAATCACAGAATGGTAAGGGTTGGAAGGGACCTCTGTGGGTCATCTAGTCCAACCCTCCTGCATGCGGGTCTTGAATATCTCCAGAGAAGGAGACTCCACAGCCTCCCTGGGCAGCCTGGGCCAGGGCTCCGTCACTCTCAGAGGGAAGAAGTTCTTCCTCATGTTCAGCTGGAGCTTCCTGTGCTTCGGTTTGTGCCCGTTGCCCCTTGTCCTGTCACTGGACACCACTGAAAAGAGCTTGGCCCCATCCTCCTGACACCCACCCTTCAGATATTTATCAGCATTTCTAAGGTCCCCTCGCAGCCTTCTCTTCTAAAAAAAACTTCTTCAGGCTGAACAAGCCCAGCTCCCTCAGTCTCTCCTCGCAGGAGAGATGCTCCAGTCCCCTCACCATCCTTGTAGCCCTCCGCTGGACTCTCTCCAGTAGCTCCTCATCTTTCTTGAACTGGGGAGCCCAGAACTGGACACAGTACTCCAGATGAGGCCTCACTAGGGCAGTGTAGAGGGGAAGGAGAACCTCCCTCGACCTGCTGGCCACACTCCTCTTGATGCAGCCCAGGATGCCATTGGCCTTCTTGGCAGCCAGGGCACACTGCTGGCTCATGGTTAACCTGATGAAGTTTTGGACGAGACCTGGTTCTCTACTTGCCCAACCTTCACGCCTTTAAAAAACAATGTATCTTTTTGTCTAAAACATGCCTGTTTTAAAGATATGCATTGATTTTTAGTTATTTAATTTGATTAATTGACATCTGTGCTCAGGTTCGCAGGGAACATGGAGCGGCAGCAGACAGACAACCTGCTCAAGTCTCACGTCAGCGGCACCTACCTGATCCGGGAGCGGCCGGCCGAGGCCGAGCGCTTTGCCATCAGTATTAAGTAATACTTCATTTAGTAATCTAGTACTACTCGCACACAGAGATGGGACTGGAGCATGCAGCTACATTTCTTTGAGTGCCTTTGCTGCCTTTTGCAGGTTCAATGAGGAGGTGAAGCACATCAAGGTGGTGGAGAAGGATAACTGGATTCACATCACAGAAGCCAAGAAGTTTGAAAGCTTGCTGGTAGGTTTTTGTAGCCCCTTTGACTGTACACACAGTCGCTGCAAGTCATGCAAAGGACGGCAGAGACAGATCACAGAATCACAGAATGTTAGGGGTTGGATGGGACCTCTGTGGGTCACCCAGTCCAACCCCTTGCCGAAGCAGGGTCACCCAGAGCAGGCTGCACAGGACCTTGTCCAGGCGGGTCTTGAATATCTCCAGAGAAGGAGACTCCACAGCCTCCCTGGGCAGCCTGGGCCAGGGCTCCGTCACCCTCAGAGGGAAGAAGTTCTTCCTCGGGTTCAGCTGGAGCTTCCTCTGCTTCAGTTTGTGCCCGTTGCCCCTTGTCCTGTCGCTGGGCACCACTGGAAAGAGTCTGGCCCCGTCCTCCTGACCCCCACCCTGCAGATATTTAGAGACATTTCGAAGGTCCCCTCGCAGCCTTCTCTTCTCCAGGCTGGACAAGCCCAGCTCCCAGTCCACTTCTACTTATTCTATTATATGAATTAATATTAACTATAAAGGTAACAGCAGATCAAAGGGCCTCGGAGCCCAGCAAGCCCTGCTGGCAGTTCAGCAGTCTCGCTGTAGATTACCTACCAGAGGTGAGTGTCACTCCTCCTCTAAAGCCCACGCCACCTTAACTAAAGCGCCTGGCAAATTATAATCAAAGCTGGATCATCATATTTACATACCCACTCCCACCAATTAACCACATAACCCACTGGTGCAGCTACAAAACGCTTTATCACTTGCTTTTTCAGCTCTCGCCAAACCATACCAAGTTTTGAGGGCTGCCCCAAGCCTGCCTTGAAGAAGCGCAGGACGCTTGAGATGACATTTATTTTTCTTTAACTTCCACAGCTCTGTTTCCACATCGGCCTTCATAAAGAAAATGAGGAGCACGTCCAGAGCTTCCACCCGGAAAGCTCGGGCCAGAATCCTTTCCACATTCCCCTGGCAACATCTCAACCTCTTCTTCTTCCACGCTCGCCGTACGCCCCAGTTTGGAAGAAACTAAAGGACCCAAAGAGCCCAGAGGTTCTCAGGAGGAGAGGGAAGGGATTGTCCCGAGGTTCTCAGGAGGAGAGCGAAGGGATTGTCCCGAAGTTCTCAGGAGGAGAGGGAAGGGATTGTCCCGAGGTTCTCAGGAGGAGAGGGAAGGGATTGTCCCGAGGTTCTCAGGAGGAGATGGAAGGGATTGTCCCGAGGTTCTCAGGAGGAGAGGGAAGGGATTGTCCCGAGGTTCTCAGGAGGAGAGGGAAGGGATTGTCCCGAGGTTCTCAGGAGGAGAGGGAAGGGATTGTCCCGAGGTTCTCAGGAGGAGAGGGAAGGGATTGTCCCGAGGTTCTCAGGAGGAGAGGGAAGGGATTGTCCCGAGGTTCTCAGGAGGAGAGGGAAGGGATTGTCCCGAGGTTCTCAGGAGGAGAGGGAAGGGATTGTCCCGAGGTTCTCAGGAGGAGAGGGAAGGGATTGTCCCGAGGTTCTCAGGAGGAGAGGGAAGGGATTGTCCCGAGGTTCTCAGGAGGAGAGGGAAGGGATTGTCCCGAGGTTCTCAGGAGGAGAGGGAAGGGATTGTCCCGAGGTTCTCAGGAGGAGAGGGAAGGGATTGTCCCGAGGTTCTCAGGAGGAGAGGGAAGGGATTGTCCCGAGGTTCTCAGGAGGAGAGGGAAGGGATTGTCCCGAGGTTCTCAGGAGGAGAGGGAAGGGATTGTCCCGAGGTTCTCAGGAGGAGAGGGAAGGGATTGTCCCGAGGTTCTCAGGAGGAGAGGGAAGGGATTGTCCCGAGGTTCTCAGGAGGAGAGGGAAGGGATTGTCCCGAGGTTCTCAGGAGGAGAGGGAAGGGATTGTCCCGAGGTTCTCAGGAGGAGAGGGAAGGGATTGTCCCGAGGTTCTCAGGAGGAGAGGGAAGGGATTGTCCCGAGGTTCTCAGGAGGAGAGGGAAGGGATTGTCCCGAGGTTCTCAGGAGGAGAGGGAAGGGATTGTCCCGAGGTTCTCAGGAGGAGAGGGAAGGGATTGTCCCGAGGTTCTCAGGAGGAGAGGGAAGGGATTGTCCCGAGGTTCTCAGGAGGAGAGGGAAGGGATTGTCCCGAGGTTCTCAGGAGGAGAGGGAAGGGATTGTCCCGAGGTTCTCAGGAGGAGAGGGAAGGGATTGTCCCGAGGTTCTCAGGAGGAGAGGGAAGGGATTGTCCCGAGGTTCTCAGGAGGAGAGGGAAGGGATTGTCCCGAGGTTCTCAGGAGGAGAGGGAAGGGATTGTCCCGAGGTTCTCAGGAGGAGAGGGAAGGGATTGTCCCGAGGTTCTCAGGAGGAGAGGGAAGGGATTGTCCCGAGGTTCTCAGGAGGAGAGGGAAGGGATTGTCCCGAGGTTCTCAGGAGGAGAGGGAAGGGATTGTCCCGAGGTTCTCAGGAGGAGAGGGAAGGGATTGTCCCGAGGTTCTCAGGAGGAGAGGGAAGGGATTGTCCCGAGGTTCTCAGGAGGAGAGGGAAGGGATTGTCCCGAGGTTCTCAGGAGGAGAGGGAAGGGATTGTCCCGAGGTTCTCAGGAGGAGAGGGAAGGGATGCTTGCATATCTCTGTGCACTTTCCTTTCTGCTCATGAATCACAGAATGGTAAGGGTTGGAAGGGACCTCTGTGGGTCATCTAGTCCAACCCTCCTGCCGAAGCAGGGT